GATTAAGGATACACCTAATGGCTTCTTTTTGTAAATGTAAAATTTTGTTTAAATTGAATTTACTTGTTCCTCCATAAATTTCTATACCGTAAGAAATATGTGAGTGAATAGTAGCAAAGTAAACCTTTCTTAAGATTTCTCTGTTGCATAATGGATATAAGCGTCTAATAGCAAAAATACTTGAGCTGATTTTATTACATAAGTTGTCAACATGTGAGGTCCAATTAAGTGTGCTATTTAAGGTGAGGCCTAAAAATTTAGTTTCATAAACAAAATTGTTAAACAGTTCTTTTCTAGATTTTTTAGATTCAAACGCAATGAACGTTGTTTTATTTTCATTTAGTAAAAGATTTTTTTCATTCAAGTAATCTTTAATTATTGTGAGTGAATCATGAGTTTTATTTATAAGAAGCTCCATATTCTTATCATAAATCGACATACTTATGTCATCTGCATACAAGCACAGAGTATTATTTTCTACATGTTCAAATAAATGTTTTGGCATCCCTCCCAAGTAGCACAAGAACAAGAATGGGCCCAACACTGATCCTTGTGGCACTGAGTATTTTACTGTCCTAACCTCAGATTTAATATGGTACATTTTATTCCCACTTAAATGAACAATGTTAACAAACTGTTGGCGTCCCTCCAGATAAGATTCAATCCAGCTTAACTCTTTGCCACCAATTCCATACATTTTAAGTTTATTTAGTAACTTTAAATGGTGCACGCTGTCAAATGCCTTGGACATATCCAAAAAGGCACCAATTACTTTGTTGTCCTCATCCAACTTTTCCAACACATTTTCAATATAAGATATAAGTGCTGTAGTGGTGGATTTGTTTTTTCTATAACCATGCTGCTCTTTATCTAATAAGTTATTAATTTCAAAATAATCCACTAGCTGAAAAAGAAAGCATTTTTCAAATAATTTTGAAAGAGCTGGTTGAATTGCCAATGGTCGATAGTTATTTGGATCTTTTTTGTCTCCTTTTTTATATACCGGGATAATTTTTGAAATTTTCAGCTTATCAGGATAAACACCTGTTATAAGTGAAGTATTAATGACGTGTAAAAGTGGCTTTAATAAAACAGATTTAGATTCTTTTATTATTCTAATCGGAATTTCATCATAACCTGATGACCATTTAGGTTTTAATTGGTCTATTATGGATATTAAAATTGGTTCATCAATTGTTTTGCACTTAAACTTAGTGTTTGAAGCAAAATTTTCAGAACTAGTTTGGGTTTTATTCAGATTTGGTAAAACATTATGTTCCACCATATCAGCAAAATTATTGTTTAATATATTTGAAACAGCATATGGGTCCTCTATTTCGGCACCATTCTGCATTAGTATAACATTATTATGCACCTTATCTTTTTTACTTTTAGTTTTAGAGTTCACAATCTGCCAAACAGTTTTGTTAACATTGGTCGAGTTCCTAATTTTATTGTTAAAATGATTTTTTTTCTTAAGCTTTATAATTTTTTTATATCTTTTTTTACGTTCTTTAATACAATTCTTTAACTTAATGTTACTTCTATCATTCCTGTACAATTGGTGCTCTGTAATTAATTAAATGGCTCAAGCCTAGTGCTCTGTACTTCGAATCAGATAGTATTCGTCAATTGGTAAAATATAACCTTGTTGGAATAAGTTTTTAAGACATATCACATACAATTTTAGTCATATTTTAATATTCACGTACACTGATAAGTCAAAATGTTCACAATACAAGTATTTTGTTCTATTGATGATTTAAGTTTTTCTTAAGCATTGTAGATTATTAAGCTTAAGTTAAAATTTATTTGAAATAAAATACCAAGGTTTATGTTTAAGAAACAAAAAAGTACCTAATTAACAAAAGAAGTTATGAACAATTTTACTAGAAATAAAAGTATCTAAATGACAAAACCAAGCATCCTCTTGACAATTTTTTGCAGCCCTCGAACTGTTAGGAAATAAGACAAAATTTTGGAATTAACAAACTGCACGAATAATAAGTTTAAAATATTCCCTATTTGTACAAGTTTATCAATTTTCCCTTGAACACAGAGCAGAACATTAACTTTAAACGCTCTGATGGTCCAAGTTGGTTAACTGTGTGTTTTATTATGCTTTGCCATAAAACACAATAGTTTAGTTCCCCGCAATTCACCTACATCCTGTGTGGGGACGTGTGGCAAATGTTTTAATCAGGCCTTAACTCTGTTGACCTTGCAGTTATAATGTGAGTCTCTCATCTCACTCTCTCTCTCTCTCCCTCTTGTGCATCTCCCATATCTCTTATCTCTCTTTCTCTTTCTCCCACACAAGTCTCGAGAAACGAAGCATTACTAGTCATCATACCATTACCATAACAAACAATACTATTCCAAACAATGCTCTATTCTATGCTCTTTTTACCTCCATGTAACCATAGCAGCAAACGTAAAGTTTACGCTCAATTGGTATGGATCCACAATCAACAAATTCAATTTATTGTAATTAAAGTTAGTATTTTTACAGTATTGAGCTTACCATCTAAAAACAAACGTTAAAGCTGTTAAAGGTAAAAAGGGCATTGCATTATTTGTTTTGCTCCAGAAACAAGCTATGATCACTATCAAAATGTTCAGTTTGAACATGGGTCCCGTCGGATATTGAAAGTAAGAATATAATGACATATTCTTGTTTAATGTTTATTAGTTAGCTATGTAAATGTTTAAAGTGAATATACAAACTCCTTTAAACTCTACAAATCTCTTGAGTTTGCACATGGGTCCCCTCGGATATTGAAAGTAAGAACATAATGACATATTCTTGTTTAATGTTTATTAGTTAGCTATGTAAATGTTTAAAGTGAATATACAAACTCAACAAATCTCATGAGATGTTCGCAGCAAACAGGATGTGCTTTTGCAACTCATGCATCTCGTGTTCCAAAAGTCTTCTAGGAAAGTGATTCAGCAAATAGAGCATAGAAGAAGTACCTAGCTGGTGTACGGATAAAGCTGATACTTTTATCGCTACTACAAATGTACTCTTTTTTTGAAAATAATTTGTTTACAGATAATCAATTTAGCTTTAGATTAGAAAATAACTCAGTATCAGCTGTCTCTGATTTCATAAATCGGGTGTCGGAGGGCTTGGATGGATCTCAGAGTACTGCAGCAGTGTTCTGTAATCTGTCCAAGGCGTTCGATTGTGTAAACCATGAAGTATTAAGTTATAAACTTAAATATTATAACTTCTCTGATCTGGCACTGTCTTCGATACAATCTTATTTAAAAAACTGGCAACAGAGAACTGTCATTAAGAAAAATGGTAAACATTTCATTTCAAAATGGCAAACCATCAATTGTGGTGTACCCCAAGGATCAATTTTAGGTCCCTTGTTATTTTTAATATTCATCAATGATGTTCCTAACAATGTATCATCAAACCTAATATTGACACTACAGCAATAGTAAAAGCAAATGATGTACATACTCTTAGATTAGAGTTTGATCGTTCCATTGTAGACTTAACTAACTGGTTTGCGGCAAATGGTTTAAAACTTAATAATTCTAAAACACATATTATGCAATTCCAAACAAAATTTTTAGGCTTAAATATTGATAAAAATTTGACATGGAAACGTCACATTGAAATATTAGCTAAAAAATTGCATTCAGCTTGTTTCCAGATGTATGTTTTAAGAAAACATAATAGATTCTAAAACAAAGGTCATAGTTTATTATGCCATATTTTTTTAGTTATGGGGCTCAACATCATATGCCTCAGCTATTTTTAAGATACAAAAAGAAGTTTTTAAGAATCTTATCATTTACATACAAAAAAAGTCATGTAAACCGCTTTTTGAAACATATGGAATGTTAGGCCTAACAATGCCTTCACTTTACATTTATAAAATTCTGTAACACAATTATTTATAAACAATCAATTTATTCATCAATACCCAACACATTCAAAAAATAATTTGCAGTATCCAAGACATCGGCTATGCCTGTATGAAAGATCGCCGCACTTTATGAGTCTAAGGCTTTACAACGGTCTACCTGCTCATTTAAAAAATATCAATAACATTGTAAAGTTTAAGAAAGAATTAAAAACATTCCTTATAAAAAAGAAATATTATACAATAGAAGAGTATTTAAATGACTGTTTTTTAAAAAGTGACTAGTTTAATTTTAATCCTTAGTTTTAATTTTTTATTTTTGTTAGCTAAGAAATGACAATGTCATCTGTTTCACCAGCTTTGCTGGAAATGTGAAATGTTTTATGGCAATAAAGTGATATTATTATTATTATTACTACTAAAATAATTGTATGACAATATTAAATACCTCTGCCGCAGCAAACCTGCAGACTAAGCAAATTTTCATTTGCCAGATTTGATTTCCAGTTGGCAAAATAAACTTGGCAAAACACAGTGAACATAGAATGGATTATAATAATGGAAGCTTAAGGGACAAATTTGCTCAAAAAGAACTCTTTTCCTATAACTCGTAGTTACGTCAATTTATTGAATACTAAACAGCAATGTGTAGACGAAATGTGTCATAAAATGTTTATATGATTGTCAGAAGGTAACTTTTTAATGCTCTATCAAATCAATTCTGCCTAGGATCTTCTGATGAGATTGGTAACAAGGACAGACTTGGTACTTCGTCTTAGAATTAAGAGTGTGCCCTACCACCAGAGAAGTAAGGACAGACAGAGGAAACATGGGACTATCGTGTGCTTCCAGCTCTTGTATGTTTTGCCAGGAATAATCTTGTGACAAGCAAGGAAAGGAAGAGCCAGAGTGGCGAGTGCTGTGTGGAAATTCCTCTAGCACAGGACACCATACGTTGTAGTACATGAGGGCAGCGGGGGCGGTGTTGGAATTCGCCCTAGACACCAGTACTAGTGCTAGACACCACTTACATGTACCATTGAGTGTTTCCTCTGTACTTTACTTCTCTGTAGCTGTACTAACGATGTTTGGACTAATTTTTTTGTGGTTTTCCAGCTTCATCACCCGAGATTCAAGGCCTCAGTCGTACATCCGTTGCTCAGTGCTGGATGGAGCTACTCGACTGCCACAGGTGTCCAACAACCACCGCTCGGCTGCTAGGCTGCGGATAGACCCTAAGGTAATTACCGTTCCACTACAATCTGCATTGGGCCTTGCTGTTACTTTTCAACCTAAAATGTTCTACCTGTGTTTGTTGTGTTGGGCATATGCAACAATTTAATTTTCCTACAGTAACCTGACAAAGTGGCCTTCCTTGCACTGATTGTGCACAGAAAGTTGTCAATTGCTGCATATACTTACTTTTACCGCACACTTTTTACTTTTGCCACACAGTTTTTTTTTTTTTTTTTTTTTGCCGCACACCAGTATTTTATTTGAACAACACAAAACAGCGTGGTTTTATTAGGCACGTAATACGTGTACGCTTGAAAATAAGTTGGCAACACTTAAAGGATATTACTAACGATCAGCTGGTACAGTGTGTTTCCCATTTTGTTCAATGTTTAGATTTAACCTAACCTAAAAACGTGTTGTACAGTGTTTGAAAGACTATTTATTGGTATGCTTTATAGTAACTGTAGGAAAAATATAGGCTTATGTGTAATGCAAGTGCAAACTGCCTTTGCTGCCTTCGAGAAACTTTTTTTCACCTACGTCTTGTGGGTAAACATTTCTCTTGTGTGCAGCAAAGTGCCACTTCGCCCACTATAGTTACACAAATAACCACCTATTTACTTTTAATTGTTACTATAGGTAAATAAAAGAACTAAAAATCTCAGTTGATAAACTAAGAGAGAAAATTCTTCAGAATTCTAATTAAATGCCATTAAAGGTTTAACCAAAGTAAGGAATTATTTTTTCGTTTATTGTTAGTATAATGTAAATACTTCCATGAGTAGGTAAAATACTTCCATAATTTTTTATCTTAGTTCATTACCTGAAGTGTTTTTGTTTGGTGTAGGATGTCCTATATTTTACCATATAACAATAAATTAATCACACAGGGTGAAGCTGAGAAATCAAGATATCCAGTATTTTAGCTAACCTTTTTCATTAAATCTACTAGTCAAACATTTTAATTTTTAGTCAATACATTATTTAGATAAGCAAACTTGGTGACAATTCAGAGTAAAATTAAATTTTGGCATATGCTCAATATAATCAACACAGATAGAAATATGTTGAAAAGTAACACCATGGCCAGAATGAAATTGTACTTATCTTTTGTGAACACCCTGTATACTTTAAAAAACGAAGTAAGGCTATAATGTACAAGGATAGGGATCAGCTAGCTTACGTTACCTAGTACAGTAGAACCTCTTTAATCCGAACCCCCGTAATCCGAAAGTCCACTAATCCGAACCCCTCATTGCTGTACACTATACACAGTATAGCAGTTCTTTATTGTATACTGTATTTAATTTATAGTACTGTTTATTCACCATATTTACTACTGTATTAAATAAACACTGTATTTTACTTTACTAAAGATTTTTTCACTTTTCCCAAAATAATTTTGATCAATTTTAGCCATGTTTTAGCTATTGTTATGTAAAAACAACAATATGTTCTGTAATCCGAACTATTCAATAGTCCGAACTACCCCTGGTCCCAATTAGTTCGGATTAAAGAGGTTCTACTGTAGATAGAGTTCAGCTAGTAGATAGTGTTAGCTTTGGTAACACTAGACTCTACCACGTAATCCTTGTACAATAATCATAATCAGTCAATGGGATTTTCCTAATTTTTCAACCTAAAAGTATGGTTAGTGTGCATTTTAAAGATTGACCAATCAATATTAAGCTAAAACATAGGGAAACTTTGTTTGGGCTTTGTTCTTGACCTTATTGGTTTTTATCCATTAGAATATTGGTCAATGATCCTGAATAATAAATCAGCTAGATTTTGTCTGAAACGAAGCTGTACAATTCCTACAATTTTTAAGTACCCTTACAAATTTCATTCTTAATCAACGCAAAAAAACAATGCCAACTGATTTAAAATTTATTGTCTTTTTTTCTTAAGCCATTGTTTTGTATGAGAAACAAAAAAAGACATTACTGTAAAAACACTTTTAAACAGAACAGTTCCATTAGGTAGTTGTCTTAGGGGCTTTGTTTTTACTCTGCTGGGGAATTATTTTGAGGTCTGATTCTTTCTTATTCTTGTGAAGTAGCAAAATCTGGACTCTTCCCTGTTGACAGTGGAATAATTGTAATTCGACAATGTATGGAATAGACTGCATTTCGCCCCTTGGTTTAAAAGTGTTAAACAATTTCATAATTCCACTTTCCACTCATGTTAAAATAGTGTTATATATTACAACTTTCTGGTAGGCTACAACACATATTCTGAACAAATAATTTGTCGTTACAGGTGCTAGTTTTTGTGGAGACTACGTACTCAAGACTGGGACGAGAAATTGCAGAGCTTCTCGTCTACAACCGAATGAAGTAAGTTATTCTACATTTTATTCTATTTATATTAAACATAAATTGTTTTCAACTTAACAACCATAGGAAATTACTACAGACGAATGTTCTATTGTGTTAATATTGAACGAGTTTTGTATTAAAAAGCTGCTTGTGTCCATAATTTAGCATGACAGTTAATAAACTTGATTTTCAACCAAATATGAAAAGATATTGATGGAAAGATATGAAGGTATAACTTAACTCGCTGTTTTGGCTGGGTCGTCCTTCGGTAGATAGTGCCAGGCTAGATTTACAACTGCATTGTTTAACAGTTGTGTGCGTTTTGTCAATATAGTTGGCTTGCATTTGCTGTTGCGTTAAGCATGGGGGAAAGCAGTGATTAGCAAATTCTCTTTTCTAAAAAATGTTTTCCCTTCCCTGTATATACTACATCTATCAGTATTGTGGTTCCTGGTTGCAATGTTGACCTTTTATTAGGCAGCATCATTAATATTTGAGAAGAAAAAATACCCCCGCCGCAGCAAACCTGCAGACTAAGCGAATTTCCATATACACAGCTGGAGTTCCACTAAATTGTTCCCTTAAAATTGTCAGATTTATTTCCTATTTAAACATCATTAATATTAATGAGTACTTAGGTTTGCTGCTACAGGGAAGAAAATAGGGGGGTTTTATTGAAATATTCATAGCTCAGTATGAAGTAAACAAAATTTCATTAATATATGTCCATACACAAGCAAGCTACAACACTATTTATTCTCCATAAGAATAACATGGTAATTTTAAATTTACATTATTTTGTAATTTTTCCGTAACTGTTACGCATGCAACGATGCTTCAATATACTAAATTATTTGTTTTTTTGAGCTCTACAAAATGGTTTAGATAGAAATTGCAAAATTTTATGTTTTCAGGGCAAAAAATTAGAAAACCCCATTTTTACCCCATAAAACCCCCCATAAACCCCTGTTCCCATAGTCCGATCATGCTGGTTTGCGAACTCGTTCGAATAAATGTAGGTTTACATGTTAATACCAAATTTCATCAAAATCGGATCATTTTTGCTCGAGTTATCGCGCTAACGGACACATATATAAATATATATATAAATATATATATAATTACAAACAACAACAAACAATGCCAACTGATTTAAAATTTATTGTCTTTTTTTCTTAAGCCATTGTTTTGTATGAGAAACAAAAAAAGACATTACTGTAAAAACACTTTTAAACAGAACAGTTCCATTAGGTAGTTGTCTTAGGGGCTTTGTTTTTACTCTGCTGGGGAATTATTTTGAGGTCTGATTCTTTCTTATTCTTGTGAAGTAGCAAAATCACTTCGGCCTAATATATATATATAAATATATATATATATGAATTTGAACGGATGGTGTTTTTGGCCTCTGTGGACCTCAAAACGAAAAACTAAATCGGTCCCGGGTCCAGGTCTTACCATGAGACCTACGGTAATAGGTTATTCCCTACATGAGAAATTCGCTAATATTAATATGAAGAAATATATATTAATATTAAGAGAAGAAAAAATTGAGGTGCTATGAAAATGTGTGAAAAATTTAAAACGTAGAATTTGAATAAATATGTGTAAAAAAGTTAGGTAGATATTTTCTTCAAATAAACGTAGAGAATTTTTATAAAACTATATTGCTTCTGTCTTCAACCAATAAAGCAATATACCATTAACTAGGCCAACCACGAAAACTTGGAATCCTTTTACGCCAAATATGAATTAAAGGTGAGTTTAGATTGGGATGTAGCTTTGTTACTGATTAGGATCAGCTGTTTATTTAGTCATATCATAAATCAAGAGCCCAATGATCAAGGACAGCTGGGCCCAACTTCAAATATTCAAAAAAAACTATTTTAAGATTTAATCTGCAAACTAATTACAAGGTGAACACTAGTCTATATTTACTTAGCTTACAAGCTTTATTTGAACCAACTTTCCATTTTTTGCTCAGTTTTAATTTGATGTCGGACATTTAACGTTTTGACAAGTCCATATCCCCATTATGGGGTTCGTGTTGATTTGAACGTCAGAGTGGTGGTCAATGTGTTGCATTCATCGACCACATGTCAGCAAACTACTGGCCACATTGATAGGTTATGTCACCACACACCTAACTGTGTAAAGTCCATTAATACTGTCATACGGTGATGCTCTGCCATTGCAAGTGCTTTACAAGTTCAATTGGTTTCCATTTTCTACTGGCTTTGCTTAGGGTAGTGAAGTGTATTTGGAGCGATCACGTTTCATGATTTTTTATGAAGTAAGAAATTAAAATGTTAGCTTTAAATAGCAACGGATAAACAACTTAAGAGTTTGCTATTAAGTTGAAGCAGCTGATTTAAATTATTTTTTAGTCCTAAATTATGTCCTAAAAATACAGTGTTGTGCTAGGCTTTTTGATCAGTGGTTGTTTTCAAATGTTTTCTTTCATTTCTTTGCAATGTATTCAGGTAGTATATTGCCTTGTTATTAAACATGTGATTTTTTCGTTACACATACGTTGTTACTTTTGCTAATTTTAAATTGCATAGGCATTACAAAAATGGAATTTTATCCTTCATAGACCTTTTTAATATTTGTCAAAATAAAATGGGTAAGTGTTACTGAAATATTTTCAGCCGTTTTTGCGTGATGATGATACAAAGCACTGAAGTAAATTTCAAAAAGCTTCTACTAAAGCTCAACTTGGATCTCTTATCTATTTCAATTGTTTTTGATAATTTTGATATTAGATATGCCAAACCTTTAATACTTCAAAGTTATGTTGGATTTTAAAGAAAAATATGTAGCAAGAAAGTAATTTTTTGAGGGGTGTTGAAAAAATTACAATAGCTATAAATTTTGTTATATTACTAATGTGGTATTGTAAAAATATTTTTTATACAATCAACACATTCAATGTCAGGTGACACAAGGATACAGAATAGTGTGACAGTAAGCAACTGTTAATGTGGGTGTAAACAGTTGGGATGTTTGGATCCATGTTTGTTATACCTATTTTTTAAATTGCTGAAGAAGTATTTCTCTATTCTATATGCGTGAGCGTTAACTAACAAAATTAAACCTTCATCCATCTGGTATTAATCCTCTGTGGTATGCAATCTAGATGAACAGCTCAAATAATCCAAGCATGCAAGCCTATACACTTACATTAGCAAATTGATCCGATGAGCCGGGAACCCTATTCACCTAATCAGATTAACCACAATTCTAACTGTAATATGTGTTACAAATTAATTTTATAAAAAAACCCTGCCCCAGCAAACATGCAGACCAAGCGAGTTTCAATTTACCTGGCTGGAATTCCACTAAATTATTCCCTTCAAATTGTCAGATTTATTTTCTATTTCAATATCATGAATTTCAATGAGTACTTAGGTTTGCTACTACATGGAAGTGGAAGATAATAAGGTGTTTGTTTTTATTGAAAAATTGATAGCTTATTGTGAAGTAAACAAATTTTCCAAATTTCATTAAAATATGTCCATAGATAAGCATGTTACAACAGTGTATTTACTCTCCATAAAAAAAAAACATAAAAACGGTAATTTAAAATGTAAACTTTTTTGAATTTCTTCTGCAACTGTTACAACAACTCTTCAATATACTAAATTATTTGTTTTTTAGCTCTTTAAAATAGTTTGGAAATAAATTACAAAATTTTTATTTAGGGTGAAAAATAGGAAATCACATTCTTATCCCATAAAACGTTCCATAAACCCCCGTTCCCTTGGTCCGATCATCTTGGTTTGCAGTCTCGTTAGAATAAATGTAGTTTTACACGTTTTTACCAAATTTCATCAAAATCGGATCATTTTTGCTTTGTTATCGTGCTAAGGGACACATATAGCCTATAAATATACATATGAATTTGAACTGATTGTGTTTTTGTCTTCTGGGGACCTTAAAACACAAAAGTAAATTGGTCCCGGGTTGAGTTCTTACCATGAGACATACGGTAATAGCTTATTCCCTAAATGGGAAATTTGGTAAAAACCCGAGGTTTTTAATGTTCAAGTCTCTTCCTCAATATTTTATTTTTATTACAGGCCACATCAAAAACAGCAAAGACCCTTAACAGAAAAACAGTTATTTGGAGTTTGAGTATAATAATTTATCCTGGTCGTTAGGTGGGAGGATTTGAATAGCTTGCATTATTCATCAAAGCTATGCTAGGTCCAATTTATTGTAATTTGGCTGGAAATAATCATATTTTGACCCAATGAAAGCCTTTGGTCATAATAATACTGAAGTTGTTGTCACACAAAGCTTATATTCTGTTTGGGTTGAGTTACATATTTTCTGGGTATTAATGCTTAAAAATATAGCCAACAGATTTTTTTGTATCCCATTGATTACTTTTAATTGTGGATTTTGTGAATCATTTGTTTTTTTAGGTATTTCCTTTCCTATTGGGTTTGTTTATAAATTGTCATATAGCTTTCAGGATACACAGTACATACATTTACACTTCTCATTTTTCATGTTTTTACTTTTTTAGCGAATTTCCCATATAGGGAATAAGCTATTACCGTAGGTCTCATGGTAAGACCTAGACCCGGGACCGATTTACTTTTTCGTTTTGAGGTCCCCAGAGGCCAAAAACACCATCCATTCAAATTCATATATATATATATATATATATATATATATATATATATTATATATATTTATATATGTGTCCGTTAGCGCGATAACTCGAGCAAAATTGATCCGATTTTGATGAAATTTGGTACAAACGTGTAAACCTACGTTTATTCGAACGAGTTCGCGAACCAGCATAATCGGACCATGGGATCAGGGGTTAATGGGGGGTTTTATGGGGTAAAAATGGGTTTTTCTAATTTTTGACCCTAATAACTTTAAATTTCTAAATTTCTCTCTAGACCATTTTGAAGAGCTTAAAAAAACAAATAATTTAGTATATTGAAGTGTTTTTGAATGTTCATTGACTACGGAGAAAATTTAAAAAATTGTAAATTTAAAAT